GGGGTGCGGTGTCATCTGTACGCAGATGATGTCCAACTCTGTCACTCCTTTCCACCTGCTACTAAGGAGGCTGTCGAGGGCCTGAACCGGTGCCTGGCCGCTGTAACGGTCTGGATGAGGGCGAACAAACTGAAATTAAATCCAGACAAGACAGAGGTACTCCTGGTCAGTCGCAAGGCCGAACAGGGTATAGGGTTACAGCCTGTGTTGGATGGGGTCGCACTCCCCTTGAAGGCACAGGTTCGCAGCTTGGGTGTGATCCTGGATTCATCGTTGAGCTTGGATCCCCAGGTTTCAGGGGTGACCAGGGGAGCATTTGCACAGCTTAGGCTCGTGCGCCAGCTGCGCCCGTACCTTGGGAAGTCTGACTTGGCCACGGTAGTACACGCTCTGGTCACATCCCGCCTTGACTACTGCAACGCTCTCTACGTGGGGCTGCCCTTGAAGACGGCCCGGAAGCTTCAGCTAGTCCAGCGCGCGGCAGCCATGTTACTAACGGGAGCAGGACGCAGGGAGCATACAACGCCCTTGTTGTCCCAGCTCCACTGGCTGCCGATCTGCTACCGGGCCCAATTTAAGGTGCTGGTGTTATCCTACAAAGCCCTAAACGGTTCCGGCCCAAAATACCTTTCGGACCGCATCTCGGCCTATGAGCCCACGAGGGCCTTGAGATCGTCTGGGGAGGCCCTTCTCTCGATCCCGCCTGCCTCACAGGCACGTCTGGCGGGGACGAGAGAGAGGGCCTTCTCGGTGGTGGCCCCCCGGCTGTGGAACGCCCTCCCTGTTAGATATCAGACAGGCGCCCTCCCTGATGTCCTTCCGTAAGAGCCTGAAGACATGGCTATTCGAGAAGGCATTTAATTAAGTGCTACAGTAACTGGAAATGACAACCGGAACGGAATATGACTACGAGATTGATTATGATTCTACGATAAGACGAAGCGGATTATTTTAGTGTAATTATATTGTTAGTGTATTATTGATAGTTAGGATGATATTTCGTTGTGTTAGTGCTTAATTGTCTTTTATATGTTGTACACCGCCGCGAGTCGCCCCAGGGCTGAGAGCGGCGGTTAATAAATGCAGCAAATAAATACATAGTGTAAAAATAATCCACAATTCATCATTATCAAAAACATCCTCATCAAAAACATCAACATTACTACAAAAGCCATTCCGTGTCGTCTCATCGTCAAACCCACAATCCGATATCATTTCCGTTGTTCCATTCCTATGGTCAAATTATCAATCATTGCACTTCTTGTTCAAATGCCTTCTTAAACAGCCAGGTCTTTAATTTCCTGCGGAATATCAACAGGGAGGGAGCTAGCCTGATGTCCACGGGAAGGGTGTTCCACAGCCGAGGAGCCACCACCGAGAAGGCCCTATCTCTCGTCCCCGCCAGACGTGCCTGTGAGGCAGGCGGGATCGAGAGCAGGGCCTCCCCGGAAGATCTCAAAGTCCTCGTGGGCTCATAGGCCGAGAGGCGGTCAGTTAGGTATCTTAGGTATAGACTCTTGATCCCTGGACTTTGTTTATTGAACTCTTGGCGTTTGACCACTGGACTGGACCTTTTGACTACGGAGTTATCTTGAACCTGCAACAGTGTTTGCTGTTTTTGTTTTATATTCTGTGGTTGAGTGCTATCTTTATGTTTTATATTTTGGACTATTAAAACAGCCAGAAAGTAAGTGCTGTTTTAATTCAATTGTTTAAAACAAACTGGGAGTTTGGTTCATCTCTACCTGAATAAGGCAGAGCCCTGGCAACGTGACAGAATATTTTCCCCCCAAAGATCAGTTCCAAGGCTCGCTCCTTATATCCAGAAAGCGTGGATGGGCTTAAATTAAGTGGTTTGGTTTCAGGCCCCTTTGTATGATGCGAATCTAATGTGCACCCTAATTTTGGGAAGGTAATTTACCCCCCCCCCCCAAAGTGAGCATTGCATTCGAGTCAATATGGCAAAGGGAGTGATAGTGGGGACTCACCAAGAGGAGGAGGCTGAGGTTGTGGAGGCCGTGGAAGGCCCCGGCGGAGAGACCTTGGAGGGCGTTGCAGGAGAGGTTGAGGCTGCGCAGGGCGGGCAGCCCCTCGAAGGCGCCTTCGGCCACGTCCCGCAGGCCGTTGTGGGTCAGGGAGAGCTCCCTGAGGGCCGGCAGGCGGGCGAAGGTCCCGGGCGGCAGGCGGTGGATGGCATTGAGGGAGGCGTTGAGGGCGGTGGCGTTGGCCGGCAGGTCCGCCGTGGCCGAGGAGACCTCCGCCAGGAAGCGCTGCATGCACTTGAAGTAGCCCGGGTCCAACATGTCCTGGATGCAGTTGCGGAAGCCGTAGGCACGGCAGCCCCCCGCACCCAGCACCACGCACAGACACAGGGCCACCACCAGGCACATCCTCAACCGGCCTGGCGGGAAAGAAGAAAACACATTGGGGAAAGCGTCATTAGGATGGATGGGTACGTAGGCAGATAGATAGATAGATAGATGATAGATAGATAGAGATAGGTAGATAGATAGATCAATAGGAAGAAAGGAAAATTGATGGATAGATGGATGGATGGATGGAGAGACAGACAGACAGACAGACAGACAGACAGACAGACAGACAGACAGATGTAGGCACCATCAAAGCCCTCCTAACAGATGACCATCCAGCCATAACTATGATAGATAGATAGATAGATAGATAGATAGATAGATAGATAGATAGATAGATAGAATAGATAGATAGAATAGATGGATGGATAGATAAGAAAAATAGATAGATAGATAGATAGATAGATAGATAGATAGATAGATAGATAGATAGATAGATAGATGTAGGCACCATCAAAGCCCTCCTAACAGATGACCATCCAGCCATAACTATGATAGATAGATAGATAGATAGATAGATAGATAGATAGATAGATAGATAGATAGATGAATAGATGGATAGATAGAATAGATAGATAGATAGATAGATAGATAGATAGATAGATAGATAGATAGATGTAGGCACCATCAAAGCCCTCCTAACAGATGACCATCCAGCCATAACTATGATAGATAGATAGATAGATAGATAGATAGATAGATAGATAGAATAGATGGATGGATAGATAAGAAAAATAGATAGATAGATAGATAGATAGATAGATAGATAGAATAGATGGATGGATAGATAAGATAGATAGATAGATAGATAGATAGATAGGTTATAGATAGATAGAGAGATGATAGACTCCTAGAGTTGGAGGGGATGATCCCTCCCGACAGATGGCCAGCCAGCCCTAGCTATGATAGACAGACAGACATAGACACTCTCAAAGCCCTCCTGACAGATGGCCATCCAGCTATAGCTATGCTATGATAGGTAGACAGACATATATAGATGTATGATAGACCCCGAGAGTTGGAAGGAATGATCCCTCTCAATGAATGGCCAGCCAGCCATAGCCTATATATATATAATCCCCTCCTGACAGATGGCCAGCCAACCATAGCTATGATAGATAAGAGAGAGAGAGAGAGAGAGATACGATAGATGTATGATAGACTCCTAGAGTTGGGAAGGACCCCCAGAGGTAATTTAGACCAATCCCCCTTTTTCCAGGATGCAAGGCACTATTCAATCCCTCCCAGCAGGTGGCCAGCCAGCCGTAGATAGATAGATAGAGAGACAGACAGATGTGTGTGTATGTGAGAGAGAGAGATGTATTTAGGATAGACTTATCGAGTTGGAAGGGATGATCCCTCCCAACAGATGGCCAGCCAGCCATAGCTATGATAGACAGATACGATACGTGTATGGTAGACTCCTAGAGTTGGGAGGGATGGATGGATATATCATAGAATTGTAGAGTTGGAAGGGACCCCCAAAGGGCATCCAGTCCATTTGATCCCACCCAACTGATGGCCAGCCAGCCATAGCTCTGATATGTGTGTGTGTGAGAGAGACAGATGTATGGTAGTATTCTAGAGCTAAAAGGGACTCCCATCTCATTTAACCCTCTTCTGCATGGAAGCAAGGCACTATTTGATCTCTCCTGACAGATGCCCAGCCAGCTGTAGCTATGATAGATAGATATGGCCATCTGTCGGGAGGGATCGGATGGTGCCTTGCTTCCAGGAAGAAGAAGGGTTGGACTGGATGACCTTTCGGAGTCCCTCCCAATGCATTCAAAGCCCCCCTGACAGATGGCCATCCAGCCTCTGTTTCAAAGCTTCCAAAGAAGGAGCCTCCACCACACTCCAGGGCAGAGAGTTCCACTGCTGAACGGCTAGGATTCTATGACACCTGGGCTTTGTTCTGGAACGAATGTATATGCAGATTGCCCTTGCAGTGCATAACGGGCCCATCGTAATTATATAATAAGAGCCCAAAAAAGGAAAGCAGAACCTCTGCTGCTCTTCTCACTTCCTCCCGGGTCCATCTCCCTTGAAGTTTCATGGTGTGCATTTCGCTTCTGCTTTTAAGGGGTCATTGCTAACTCCACGGTGTAGAAGATGCGCCCTTGGTAGGACTACAACTCCCAGCATCCCCTAGCATGGAGCCACGGCAGCCCAAGGGCCATTGAACTGCATCAATCCCTTGGTCTTACTCATGCCGAGAAGAGAAGGTGGAAACTCCTGCGCATGCAACACTCTTAGCGCATGTGCTTCGTCTTCCAAAGATCATCATACGAATGCAAAAGACTTTTATGAAAAGCCGCTTCCTCCCAAAGTTCTGCACTACAATTTTGGGTTCCTGGGGGATCAATGTCATTATTTCCTATATAGCATAATGGATTAAATTGCAAAACTGGACTCTTTGCAGGACATCCTGCGGTAGCACATTGGGCTCTAGCTGGTCAAGAACGCAGAATTGAAGAGGAAATCCCATTTTCAAAACAGGAACAAAACAGTTTTGCAAATTTGGTTACTCTGATCATAATGATCCAGGATAATGGGCTTTGTTTCCCTACCTGGAACCGGAGGGTCTTCACACTCCTTGCACCGAGGCTTTGGGTGTTCGGCTTCACCAACTCAAGCAAAGAGGAAGTGAAATGGAACTTCTATCTTCGGTTTTGTTTCTGAATCGGAGAAAGAAGTGGCCGCTGAAGGTGGGGCAGATGGAGGGCTCTCTCCTCCATGGGCATCCGTGGGGCGCGCCTCCAAAAGCCCACCCAGAAAGGCCAGGCCCCAGTCAGGCCCAAGTGTCTCCTTTCTCCATGGGTCTCAAGAAGAAGAAGGAGAAGAAGGAGGAGGAGGAGGAGGAAAAGAAGAAGAAGGAGAAGAAGAAAGAGGAGAAGAAGGAGGAGGAGGAGGAGGAAAAGAAGAAGAAGGAGAAGAAGAAAGAGGAGAAGAAGGAGGAGGAGGAGGAGGAAAAGAAGAAGAAGGAGAAGAAGAAAGAGGAGAAGAAGGAGGAGGAGGAGGAGGAAAAGAAGAAGAAGGAGAAGAAGAAAGAGGAGAAGAAGGAGGAGGAGGAGGAGGAAAAGAAGAAGAAGGAGAAGAAGAAAGAGGAGAAGAAGGAGGAGGAGGAGGAGGAAAAGAAGAAGAAGGAGAAGAAGAAAGAGGAGAAGAAGGAGGAGGAGGAGGAGGAAAAGAAGAAGAAGGAGAAGAAGAAAGAGGAGAAGAAGGAGGAGGAGGAGGAGGAAAAGAAGAAGAAGGAGAAGAAGAAAGAGGAGAAGAAGGAGGAGGAGAAGAAAGAGAGAGGAGGGAAGGAGGAGGGGGAGGAGAAGAAGAAAGAGGAGGAGGAGGAAAGAGAAGAAGGAGGAGAAGAAGGAGGAGGAGGAAGAGAGAAGAAGGAGAAGAGGAGAAGGAGAAGAGAGGGAGGAGGAAGAGGAGGAGGAGGAAGAAGGAGGAGAAGGAGAGAGGGGGAGGAGGAGGAAGAGGAGAGAGGAGAAGAAGGAGGAGGAAGAGGAGGAGAAGGAGAAGGAGAAGAAGGAGGAGGAGAAGGAGAAGAAGGAGGAAGGAGAAGAAGAGGGGAGGAGGAGGAGGAGGAGAAGAGAAGAAGGAGGAGGAGGAGGAGGAGAGAGAAGAAGAAAGGGAGGAGGAGGAGGAGAAGGAGGAGGAGAAGAAGAGGAGAAGGAGGAGAAGAAGGAGGAGAGGAGAAGGGAGGAGAGAAGGAGGAGGAAGAGGAGAAGAAAGAGGAGGAGGAGGAGGAGGAGGAGGAGGAGGAGGAGGAGAAGTGTCTCCTTTCTCCATGGGTGTCAACCTATCTATATATATATATAAATGTTCTGTGCATAATGAGTACGAACAGAACTCAAAAACCACTGGGGAAATTGACACCAAATTTGGACACAAACCTCTCAGGCCAACGAGTGACCATCACTCGTAAAAACACTGAAAAAAGCAGAAAGGACTTAAAAAGCCAAAAAAAAAAAAAATTACAACACATGCACACACACATATATACAAACACACACATATAGACAAATATATACACAAACACACATATATATACACAGCGTGTGGCAGGGGACGGCTAATAATAATAATAATAATAATAATAATAATAATAATAATAATAATATTGTTGGGCTTTCGAATCCAGACTGACAAAGTTTTGGAACACAACACGCCAGACATCACGATTGTGGAAAAGAAAAAAGTCTGGATGATGGATGTCGCCATTCCAGGTGAGAGTCGCATTGAGGAAAAACAACAGGAAAAACTCAGCCGCTATCAAGACCTCAAAATCGAATGGCAAAGGCTCTGGCATCAACCAGTAGAGGTGGTCCCAGTGGTAATTGGCACACTGGGTGCCGTGCCAAAAGATCTCAGCCGGCATTTGGAAACTTACTTACTTAGGCGATCCCTCATTGGACGAGTAAGATGGTCTTCCATTATGGATTTCCTTGTGGGTCCGTATGTGGCTGTGGAGCCCTATTCTTGCTCTGCATCTTCTTCCGCAGTGAGGCATTGGTTTCCAGGTGGAAGGCGGTCCCGGTCGGGGTTGGCTTGACGCGCCTTCCTCCTGGCACGTTTCTCTCTTTCACCCTCCACTCGTGCCTCCTCGAATTCTGCAGCACTGCTGGTCACAGCTGACCTCCAGCTGGAGCGCTCAAGGGCCAGGGCTTCCCAGTTCTCAGTGTCTATGCCAGAGTTTTTAAGGTTGGCTTTGAGCCCATCTTTAAATCTCTTTTCCTGCCCACCAACGTTCTGTTTTCCGTTCTTGAGTTCGGAGTAGAGCAACTGCTTTGGGAGACAGTGGTCAGGCATCCGGACAACGTGGCCGGCCCAGCGGAGTTGATGGCGGAGGACCATCGCTTCAATGCTGGTGGTCTTTGCTTCTTCCAGCACGCTGACGTTTGTCTGCTTGTCTTCCCAAGAGATTTGCAGGATTTTCCGGAGGCAGTGCTGATGGAATCGTTCCAGGAGTTGCATGTGACGTCTGTAGACAGTCCACGTCTCACAGGCATAGAGCA